AATTTAAAGTATTTATTTTCAGACCAACACCTTTATTGTTTATTAAAATTATAAGTGTAAATAACCAGAAATCTTGTCATTAGAATAACTATCGCCTTTGAATGAATTTATGGTGATTTGATTTCCTTTTAATGTACATCTTTTTTAAAAACGAAGTAATTTCTTTATCTCCTATCCTTCCCCAACCTCTCTGTCTTTGGGTTGTTGCCTCTGGGTTGTTGTCTCATGTTTGAACTGCTGTTACTGCGTGTTTGAAGTGTTATTGCTGCATGTTGATGTTGTGTGTTGGAAGGGTAGGATAATCTAGCTTGTGGATTTATAAAGCTGCACTCTGGCTGACCTGTTAGAGTCAGTTTAGAGTGTTACATATAGTGCCTCTGCCTAGTTTTCTCTATTGAATGGTTGACCCTAACTGAGGCTAATCATTCATGTTCTCCTGGGGAAGCTCAAATTTGAATAGCAGTCGAGACTTAGAGTTTGAACTCTAGACTTCACTTGTAGTCAAGAATTCATTCCCAGCTTTGTAACTGAATAAAATATTTTTGAAATTCTAAATTAACAGGCAGGCCTTTCTTTGTGAGAATATTACAAATCATAGACAAACAAAATATATATATATGATTGCAAAATGGAAAATAAAATACTCCATTGGTGCGTGGATAAAAAACATTTAAACTTGATTGGTATTTGGATATATTCAGAACCAATTTGACAAGGTCTAAATAACCTCAATTCATTGCATTTTGATAAAGTACCTCCATCACATTGAAGTGTTAAAATGCTTCACAAATGAGTAACTTGGTTACTGTTCTGTAAGTAGTTTTTTCAAGAACACTACACTGCTAGTTAATTTACTTTTACAAAGGTATTTTATTGATTTCTAGCCTTATTAACAAGCCTTTCTTTATATTAAAAAAAAGAAAAAGTACTACAGGAAGATAGAAAGCACTATCTATGTATACCTTTTGACTGGTAGCTGAAATGGCTTTAGCAGATAGATATTCTTTCACCAGGGAGACAGACGAGCTTTATTTGACTTCAGACTTTTTGCGAGAACTTGGGGATTTTAGCAAGTTATTTGTCTCTTCAGAAATTTGATGTAGCGCTTTTTACGTCTTCAAGACGTCTCAAAGCGCTTCACAAAATATACTGTAAAGTGAATTGACTGTATATTTGTGGGTGAAATGCACCATTCAAAAATTTTGGGTTGTATTTTGTTAACCAAATGTGCACTCAATTGTTGTTTTAATTCTTAAATGAATATTTCTCTGCAGTTGTGTTTGACATTTGAATATTTCATTTATTTTTGCCGCTTACCTTTCACTTTTGTCAGTAGGCATTCATCTAACGAATTCCTGATTTTAAAAAAAGTGAATAATCAGCAGTGAGTGCAAACTATTTTATGTACAGTTGACTGAATAAGTGACTTGAAACATGTTTCAGTTAAAAAGGTGGTTTGGAATTGATGGCAATTCATGACTATACAGGAATGTTTAGATATTTTGTTCTTTTTTAGCAAACATGCTCCCTCACATTCCCATCATCTTGTTTGTTAGTGGGGAAGAATGTTTCAGCCTGTACCCTTCTCCAAGGGTGCCATCTTCATTTCTTCTTTGTGGGCTCTCTTGATCAGATCTGGAAGGGATTCTTTCCGTATGATTTCCCTCACCCCTCCCCACACAGAGGCTGAATATCGTCAGTGTAACATTCTATCGTTGAAGCAACCAAATTGCTTCAAGGTGTGCAGCAAAGTTGAGAGGAACTTTTGTGAAATGTTATGGTTTGTGCTTCTGTTTTATTATTGTGAAATAAATACTCATGCACATTAAATTACTTTGAGTCTGAAAACCTATTTCCAATTATCCTCCTCCTTACTGCATTTGCAATGAGAATTTTTATAGTGCCGACTGCAAAATTCTACAAGTTCTTGCCGACCACAGAAGAAATATTTTAAAAACCGTATGACTTACAATAGCTGTTAAATAATACCAGATATTAGTTTCAAGTTCAAACTATCAGTCTGCTGTCCAAACCAACTCTGGGACACCACTTCCTCGACTCCATGTGTTTTCTTAACTGCCAGATTCTAAAGCCTTTGAGTGTGCAAAATGTATGTACCAGAATAGTATGTTATAATCTAGGGAAATAGAATCTGGGCAGTGAAAAACGATTTGCTTGTGAATTACCATCTGGAATGCTGACTTTTATTATCGAAGGTACAAACTGTAGTTCATTCCAAGGAAAAGGGAAATTCTGTTCAGGCACTCTAGGTGCCATCACAGTCTGTTAAAAACACATTGATAAAGTGTTGGCAGTTCATCTTTCTATTGTACTGCTGCTTCATAGCACATGGGTGAAAAATCCACATATGAAAGATTAATGGCAAGTCATTTCTAAATGAACCAGACCTGTTGACAGTTTGAAGGACTTGCAGAATGTCAGTTTTTGCCAGTAATGGTCATTGGCCCGTGAAATTGTGTGGCAACTGGGGATTATTCTTAGTTTAATGTAGTCTTTCAGCCAGATGTATTTACCTATAGCACTTGCTAATGAAAGTCAATACTGCAGCCTGCTGAAGGAAACTGGAAAAGAACATTATGATATTTGGATAAGTACAATGATTATTTATACTCTGATTGTACAGCACTGTTGACCAGTACATGTAAAGTAAGAAGCAGTTAATTCCTCAGATCTTTAATATTAATAATAATATCTTTAAGAATGAGATTAACTATCATTTCTGGATCAGTGTCTTTTCCTGGATCAAGACTTTGGAAGAAATATTTAGTCTTTGATGACTACTTTGTAACAACATCTTTGATTCTTGGAGTACGTAGTATATTAGAACTAGTGAGTGGATTATCCTTGAGGATCAGTTCCAATATACTTTTAGTATCCTTAGAAGATGTGTAAAGATGGGGAGAGGATGGCTTTAACTCTGGTTATGAATAGATTAATATTTTCAACCATTGGAGACATTTTCTCATTTTTCAGTGGTTGGTCACAGATTACATCTATTTATAGTTAAATGCTGTGTATACTAATAGAAGTTTGTCTTAAAATTGCAGAATGTTTCCCTTAATTTGTAGGAATGCAGGGTTCTAACCAAGGGTCCTGGGTCATGCGAGTCTTGATTTTGAAGCACGGATGGTGACTCCTCAAGTTTCTTTGATCTGGTTGAGTACATTTCTGCAGTCGTGCTCTTTGTCAGGAATGTAAATGGTTGAATTTTGAGTGCCTGCTTGAATTCGTCTCCATTGCTCCATATTCTGGGGGCATCCAATTATGTATGTTAGCAAAGCCTTGATTGAAATGAAATATGATGGTTTTGCAAGATTTTGCAGAACCGTTAAAATTCTTCCTCAGGAATTTTAAGTGGTTTGATTATACGGGTCAAATATTTCCTCACCATTTCCTGCTGGGGAAGATCTATTGATTATTGAATTTGTATGGTGTGGTTTATAGTTCTTCAGTGTCAATTATAAATAGAGTATCCTTTAATTTTTCAATGGTAATTATCCTTCGCGGACGTTGCTAATTTGATTTCAGTGTATGCAGATTTTTAGTGGAAATAAATAGTGAGCTGTTGTGTTGCAAACAAAATACTTTATTTTGAGACAGTGTAAATGATTATTAAATTTGAGGAGCTCTACCTCAGAAGTTTATTGTACACATTTATTGTGAAATTACCAATTGCATTAACAATAGTTATGCTAAACATTGTACAAATGGAGGTTCTAAAATGTAGCTCTCTCAGTTGTTAAAATCTGCTATTTTTTATTATAATGCAGCATATTTGTCACCCTCATGTGATAAAGCCACATCAAGAGTCTGAAAGTTATAGTGGTATGAAGGTCTCTAAGATAGACAACAAATGACAGGACAGAAAATAAAAAGAAGTTTCAAGAGACCTCTTCAAAAAGGAAACAGAAAATGTATTGCTAGAAGAACAGAAAACCAGCTTTGGATGCTCTTTAAAAGTTTATTTAACTGCTCTAATAATGAATTTACAGAAGATAAAGTTGGCTCGGGGTGGTTTCATATTTGTCTAGATGTAAAGTGATGGGGAGAAGTTTTATGAAAGACTAGAATGGCTGGTAGGATTGCACCAAAATGTAGTACCCAATCTTAACAGTGGGGGTAGAATGAAGAGTGAAATCTTCCATGTCAGGTTGAATCTCTATTTGTAGAGATGCTATTTGTAGAGATGAAAAGCAATGGTTTTGATTATTGCACTATTTGATCTGCCAAAAAATCACATGCAGAAACCATCAGCTCTTAAAAAAATTGCCTTGAAACACTGGCAATATTATTTGTAATGACTTATTATAAATTATACACCATGTAAGCTTATTTTTACCATAGTTTTATAATTAAGCTATTTTCCAGTTCCCTCTTCTTTCTTCACAATTGGCTTTGTATAGAATACCTTTTTGGTGTCAGAGATAAGGATAGGAAAATTGGATTTAAGAGAATGTGTTTTGTTTTTACAGTAATTTAAAATAATATTAATAATCTTTGCATTTTGTATAGTGACTTTCATACCAGGAGGACACCCGAGATATTCACGGAATATTCTGTAAAGTGATTGTGTGTTTTGTGGGTGAACGTCCATATAATTATATAGTTTATGAGTGAATGTCCATATAGTTTATTAGCTTTGGTTGGGGCTGGGTGTGTGATGGGAAGTGTAACCAGGAGGCGATGCTTTGACCAGGGGGACGAGGTCACTGAAGTTATAGCCAGGTTTCTGTGATCCCAAGAATGTTCTATTTGCTCTTCCAGGATGAGGTTGTGGATTGTAAGAGCTTTATTTGAAAGGGAGCGGACATTTTGGAATTATTAATGAATGTGTAAAATGTGAATTTAGTATTTGATTGTGATTCGTGTAGTAGGTTTTTGGTGGGCAAGGTTTATGCTCTTTTTCTATTCACATTGGTAAAATCTTATCATATTTTAATTTAGATATCTTAAATCTGATTTTTTCCCCCTGTTTTCAGGAGCTGGTGAAGGATCAGGGAAGATAATACAACGTTTTCCGCAAAAAGATTGGACAGATGCACCTTTTCCGCAGGGAATAGAATTGGTGAGTATATTCTATTCTTACTACTGTATTCGACTTTATTTCTGGAAGTTTTTTTATCAATTACCATTTTGACTAATAATAATCCTTGCATTTGATATAGCGCTTTTCACGTCTTCTAGACGTCTCAAAGCGCTTCACAGAATATACTGTAAAGTGAAATGACTGTATATTTGTGGGCGAAACACGGCAGCCAATTGCGCACAGCAGTGTCCCACAAACAGTCATGGATTGAAGTGACCAATTTATTTCTTGAGGGATTATTAATAGACTATATATAAATATGAATTGAACAGTCCATGGTGATACAATTTTTATATAAAACAAACAGCACAGAAGCAGGCCATTCAACCCATTTAGTCCATGCCTATGTTTATACTCCACCCCTCCTAATCGTCTCTGCCATATTGTAGTTTATCCCAAGTTGAATAATTGTTTTCTTAACGAAATCCAGTTCCCAGCAGTACTCGCTAAAAACTAAGGTAGAAAGAAATTGCATGTGTGCCTTTTTTATTACCATGATTTATTGTACTCTCGGGTAAGTAAAGTTGGAATGGAAATGGTATTTAGCTAGAAAGTACATGACTGAAGGTTTGAATACACACAAAAATCTAGGCACAGTTTGTATTCATGGACTGTATAAATCGTCAATTACTACCTTCTGTCCTTAGATTTATTAAAATCAACTTAAAAAATTTAATGTGCCCAACCTATTCTTGCAAATTTATGAAATTTACAATATGAAGGTACATCACAGAATTATTCCAGCAGTGTAATTATTAGCCTGCTTGATTTGGGAATTAAATGTCTTAGAAAGCAGAGTTCCAGAAGGAAGAAGACTAATGAAAATCACGTGCCTGTCTTGTCGTTTACTTTGATCTCAACCATCCTACTGGCTTCCCATGACAGTATTGAGCTATTTTTGACATCAGTCCAGTGTTTTGGTCTCGATTGCCTTTCCTGGTAATCTATTCCAGCTGTTGAATACCTTTTATACAAAGTAATACTTCTTAGTGTCTCTCCTAAATTTGCCAATCAAAACCCAGAATCTGTTCTCTTTTCCAATCTTGGCCTATCTGAAATTAGTGACGATTATTGAAAATAAGCATTGTTGCCAGGTGCGTTTGCATTGAATAATGCCACCTTTATATATTTAAAAATTCTAATGTTAACTCACAAACAAAATGCTGTGAATGTACATGATATTTGAAAAAGATACGCAGATGAATGTTTTGCATATGACCCACCATCAAAACAATTTTTATCTCCTGCGTCAACTCATTCTATGTATACTGCCATTGTATTTCTTACATTTGCTCTTGCTTTGCTTAATACCTTTTCAGTGGTGCCAATTGATTGTGTTTCAGGTTTAGATAATCTGGTATGAATGATATTAATTAGAATGATTTGATAAATTGGAATGGAATATTCCTGCAATGGCACATATCTACAAGGTTGCTCAGCTTATTTCTTTCACCTTGTAAATGATTTAACAGTCATTAGGATTGAATGTCCTTACGTGCTTGTGGCACAGCATACAGTTTTATTGTGGACACCTTACACTTTATTTGACAGGTTAAGAAGGAGCTGTAGCCAGAAGCATAGTGATTTGTGAGGAGCATTATAGTAAAAGTTTAAACTATTAAGGAATGAATATTTGAAACAGAAATACCTCCATGCACTGTTGGTAGAGTGTATGCAGTTAGTTTCTTGGATTTGCATCACAAACTGATGCAAGTTTTTTAAAAAAATAATATATATAGGGTGAACAATAAGTCGTGATACCATTACAATGTCTAAAAGTCTTAAACTAATGAGGGACGCCATCTTTACGGTATTATTTTTAAACAGTAGTTTGTTTAATAAGAACGTAACAGCAAAGTCTGTATTTTGGATTTTTTATACACTGAACACTGTTGTGGTCCCACCTGCCTGTTCAGGTGGACATTCAGATCCCAAATGACCGCTGCGTTCTGGCTGTGAAAGCCCAAGATAATATTGGCATTTCACTTCATGGCTGTTGATGGAACCTTGCAAATTGATGGTTCTGTTCGCCTACAAAAAAATACAGTCACCACACTTTACAGTATGGGCTTCTGGACTTGAAAGACTCTATACCAAATGCAAGGATTATTGCATTTTTGTTATTATTTATTATTGAAAGTCATTTGAGTAGGCTCAAAGATAGAATTGAAATGTTTGAAATATGGAGGTTTCCCTCGAAAACTGGTAAAGGATCCATCTGTTGGAGCAGTGTATTTTGCACTTGGCCTGCAAATGCTCAAAGTTGATACTGTGTCAAAAAAGTGGAGAAAATGTTTTCTTCTCTAAATAGATTTTTTTTAATTATGAAAATAAAATACATTGCATTATCACATGTTAGCTACATGAAAACATAACCATAAACTGGTTGAATATTGGTCATTTATGAGTTAATTGGATCCATCAAATAAGAAAATATTGTTGGTATTTCCTGTGTCTGAAAGGGCATTGTTGTGTTTACTCATTAATATAAAATTGTTGCCATCCACGTCTTTCAGCTTAATTGAGTGAAGACTCGAGATGGCAATGACTGTCATGGCCCACACTGTAATGTAAACCTTTTAGGCATTATCTAATGATAATGACTAAGTACGTTGCCATTAGCACATGCCACAGAGTTATAATTGCAATGTTTGGATCCTATGTTTGTTACTTCCAGTTCATTAGCTATGCCCTCTGTGACACACAACTGTTGAATTGCATTGAACAACAATGACTAACCAGAACGACTGCTGTTTATTTCCATGATGTAAGCACATAAATGTAAAATGGAAATAAATCAGTATTATGGTGTTTACCAGTTATTAGTCTTTTAGATAAACAGAACTTTTTATGTACTCTTAAGAATTGCGTACAGTGCGATAATTATGCTATTTTCAACTTGGAAAGTAATTCTACAGGCATCATTCGGTTTATTGAAATATGTGAGGAATCTTTTTCAGTCTACCATAGTGTTTTTGTGATTTTACCAAATTTGTACTAAATTGCATTTTATGTATTAATCTATGTGCCACCATCGGTGACCGATCATTAAGATTTTACACCCCCGTCATCTGGAACTCCCTCTGTCTTGCCGCCTCTCTCTCTCTAAATCCTTCCTTAAAACCCACCTCTTCGACCATGCCAATAGTTTTCCCCTCTACCCTGCTTGGCTTCCAACCCCATCATTGTTTAAAAAAACCCACTCTGAGACATTATCCTACGTGAAGGACACTATATAAATGCAACTTGTTGTTAACAAGAATGTTATGTGTCGAGTACAATAAATGATGTGCAACAGAAAGGTGGATATTTTTCGTATATAATCTTTTGTGTTATGATACATCACTGTATTTTCAATTATTTCAGGATGGATTGGTAGAAATGCAAGCAATTTCAATCAATTCTTCACTTGTGTGAGACATTGTGTAGAGTTCAGGCACCCTCAAGTATGAACAAGAGACTTAAGGCTGAGACTAAAACAACATTTAAAAGAGAATTGCATAAACATTTGATGAGGAATAACATGCAAGGGTATAATAATAAAAATAATAATAATCCTTGCATTTGATATAGTGCTTTTCACGTCTTCTCGATGTCTCAAAGTGCTTCACAGAATATGCTGTAAAATGAATTGACTGTAAATTTATGGGTGAAACGCGGCAGCCAATTGTGCACAGCAGTGTCCCACAAACAGCCGTGGATTGAAAATGACCAATTTATTATTGTTTTTGGAGGGATTATTATTAGGCGTGTGGAGTAAGGAAACTTGCCCAAGGTTTCACTCTGCTTGAAATTGAACCCAGGTGTCTCGCTTGCAAGGCGAGTGCTCTAACCACTGAGCTACAGGATTCCTGGTATGGTAAAAGAGCACAGAATTAAATTAGCTAGATCCAGTGGAAGAGTTAACAGTGGCAGTACAAGTTTTGGGCTGAATGGCTTCTTACTGAACTGTAACTTTTAAGATTCTATAAACTCTGAGGTAAGCATTTTCAGCAGATTTACAGCAGAATGCCAGTAGTGTTTTCAACAATGCACTGCATTTATTGCTAAGAATTCTAGTTAGAGGCAGCCTTAGAGCAGAGGTTTTTTGCAAACTTACCCCATTCCGTTGTCATGAAATTCCAATCTAGCAATGCGAAGGAGGGTTGTGGGCAGCACTGCCCACTTCTAAGTCTATATTTGGGACAGTTCTATGCACAATGATTGCTTCTCAGCAGCCACTAACCAGCAGAGTAAAATGACAAAAATGTTTTTTCCTCTTCAATAGCTTTCCACCCCCCCCCCATCTTTCAAAAAAAATTATCCTGTAGTATGTTATTTGGGAAGTATTTTTGACAGTTATAAATATTTACAGCTTAATGCAGATGTCCGCCAGCTGATGAGGAAACTCTGAGGCTTGGGCTGACAGCTGCTGGTAAGTGTTACCTGGAGTCCCGAGTTCGTGAACACTTCCAGTGCCAGGATTCCACCTTGATTGGCTTGCAGAGAGGTAAGCGGCTGCTGCTTAAGCTCCGCACCTCCACCTGGTGGAACTATCGCTCAATGAGAAGGGATGCATGTCCAAACGGCAGACAGGAAGACAGATGGTGGCAATGCTCCCGTGCATTTCGTGCTGAGCTGCGTTGCCCACCGGGAAGCTCATAGGGAGTTTCTGGTACCTAACATCTACCTTGTGGGGGTTCAAACGTGCGCCTCGTCAGATGGCAAATGACCAACTGGTGACTCTCCTCCTTCGTGTGGAGGTAATCGGGGTCTCTTGGAGCTGAACTGGCTCCAAATAATCCTCCATTCATTTATCTTATTTCAATAGTTTTTCGATTATTTGTCTATGTTGAGGGAATTTTAATCATGATCCTTACATTCAGTGTAAAATCTTCTACTTGGGAGAATAATTAAAACACTTCACAGGATATACTGCAAAGTACGTGTCTGTATTTAATAGGCAAAACGGATTTTCACATTGTTGTGTCCCACAAACA